TGAGATTAGAATCGAATCCTTTTAAAGCATGTACAATGACCATGACCACCGAGTTCTGATTTAATCAGTTTTAAAATCCGTGGATAATTTGTGAACAAAAAAACCCCAAAATGGGGGGGTTTTTTTTTTGGGGTTTTTTTAAAAATTATTTGCCTAAAAACGCTTTTTTTTTGGTATAGTTTTCATGAATAATGTGATTGTATTAATAATTTATTTGTCGCATTAAAAAGAGTGAAGTATAATTAATCAATCATTGAAGTGTTGACATCCCAACCCGATAAATTGGTTGGAAAGGGCAGGTAGAGCAAAGCTATTGATAAGCTTCTAGGATAACAAGACTAACTAGAGTAGTAAAATGCAAGACACGAAAATGAATCGAATCATATATCGAGATAGGGGAACTAGTCATCAGAGGTGCCTTTTGGTGAAATAGCCTGGAGAATTGGAAAAACTTAAGGGTTAAGTGTGTTTAGTTAAGAAAAATTATAGGATGGATCTCCTGGGGATTGACTTGATCCAAAGCAGACAATTCTGGCGGTTGAAGTTAAAGCGTGACAATAAGAGAATCAATTTGGATCCAAAGCGAACAATTCTTTTAATGGTTGAAGTCAGGATATGACAATAAGAGAATCAATTAGATCATTCCCAGGTATCCATGTTAGATGATTCATATTAAGAAGTAACGTGGCATAATTATAAACATATGATATACTATATGAATTATAAACATATGATATACTATATGACTTATCCTGAAATTAATACAAAGATTATTCGCTAATAGATATCAGCAATGTAGCACGAATAGTTAAACCAAATTAATAAACTCTATATCATATTAAAGTTAAAGGTTAGAAGTCAAGCTTTATTAAACTCAGATTAACTTGTTTATAATTTATATCCGAGTTGGAGTCAAATTTATTTATAATTTATAGTTAAAAAATTTTTTATTTTTGCTTCTTTAGAAGCTCGAACTTAAATGAATTTTTTTCTAAGTTCAACTTTGAATAGATTATAAACGTGGCTCATTTATTTGCATAATAATATCTCATATAAACATATATTTTTATATTCAGTAGCAGTAGGCAACAATTAAATATAAATATTATATATACTCATAAACACGATTGAATATCAAGTCAATTATTTGATCGCATGCGATAGAAAACTATATGATTAAAAGAAAGCAATGTAGATAAGGTAAATATTGAGTAATGTGAACATAAAGAAATAAAGTTAATAACAATGTTGTGAACATAAAACCTAACGCTAAACTTTTTTTTTGTTTTTATCTCTGGCTTGTCTCTATTTAAAAAGTTGAGAAAAATATGGTTCTATGGTCCCACCAATTGATAGATAAAAACATGAATTTTTCAAAAAATTATTTCTATTTTATCTTTTTTTTAATTATATGATTGAAAATACTCTCGTTTTTTTCAAAAATTTTATTGATTTAGTCTATAGATGAAATCATAGATCTTAATCAAATTAATCCCAGAAAGAGTTGTGCTTCAATTTGGCCTTAATAAAAAAATGCGATTGGTTGGATGTTGAATACAAATAATAGACCTTGGCGTTGGTGAAAAAAATTTAACAGGTTGGATTGTTTGATCTCATCTCTAATATATATTGCTTTTTGTCATGTTAAAAGAAGCAAGTTTTAAAAAGAAGCAAGAAAATAAATTTTACAGATGGTATTGGCTAAGTTTTTTTTTTTTTTTTTTTTTTTTGCTTGGTTATGAAGAGTTTATGTTTGATTTTATTTTAACTAATTATTCACTCATCTCAAGAGAAGTAATAGTTGTCATATATGAACTTAGTATTGTTTTAATTCCAGATTTTTTTATCGAATATTTTCGAGTTAAATTGAGTTGTTTGGGATGAATTTATTGACCCGGATTTAAATACCTGAAAATGTTAAAATTTTTGTGCACTTAAAAAAATAAAAATAATTAAACTCCCTATAAAAAAAATTAGCCTTAATCAAATTAGGTCGGATTTTGGCCTTTGAAAGAGTTAAGAGGTACGTTGGAGTTGGAGCATTTCCCCACATCCTTGTCGTTCTTACTTTCTCAATTGATACGTACTCTCACAAAGCAAATCTTCATTCTAGATCAATAAAATAATTATTAATATAATTAAACTAATAACATGTGTATTATACATTGCATCCTTCCATGCAAGTTTGAACAAGATTTGAGACCGTTTATCTGTAAATTTACGACTTTTTTCTTAAATATTTTTTGAGGCATTCATAAATGAATTATTTAAATATATTTATAATATATTTTTATAATATAAATACTAGTGAAATCGTTGGTTGGATAATTACAAAATTATATTTTATTATTATTGTTTATTTTTTAATAACAAAATTGAAATGGCCACTAATTTCTTTATCAATTAATATCTTAATTTATAAAATTTTTCTATTGAATATTTTAATTATAAAATTAAATTGATTAAACCACTATTAAATAATTAAAAAATAAAAATTTATTGTTTTCTGAGTTCAACTTTGTCTCTGGCTCGTCTCTTTAAAAGTTGAACTTTTTTTTAGCTCGTTTGATTTAGATGTTTATATTAACGGATAATTGTAGTGAATGTTAATAGTAGATAGCTAGTGACCAATATGGGCTAACCGATGAATATTTATGTTTAATAAAATTTTTGCGGTTGCGGGTGATTTAACTGTTAAAAATATAAAATAACCTATTAAAAGTATACTTTTATATATATAATTTAAAATTTGATGGTAAATTATTATATTATATTTTAATGTATTATTATAATAGACGTATTAATTAATTGTTTAAAAATCATATCTAATTTAGACAATCATTATTTTAAATAATTATGAAACAAATGAATAAAATTACTAATTTTAAAAAAAATAACTGTAATTTTTTTTGAAAGGCAAAATAAATAAGTTTATTATTAAATTTATTTTTAATTATAAAATTAAATTGATTAAACCATTATTATATAATTAAAAAATAAAAATTTATTGTTTGAAAAATTATAATAATCATGTATCAAATTAATAAAAATCTATTATTGTTAATGTGGAGAGGGAGAGATGTTATAACATCATATATTTTTAGGGTGCAATACGTCATTTTCTGTAAAGTTTTAAATGTTATGAAGATAAACAATCTTGCAATTAAAATCATCTCCCATCATATATATACACTATTAAGTTTTAAACTAATTAATTATTAACTGATACTATTTTATTTTGTTTTCTCAATAAAAAGTTAATTTTTAATCTTGGTTATGAAGACTTTATGTTTGATTTTATTATAACTATTTATTCTCCTGTCACAAAATGATTTGGCGACAAGGTTAGATCTTTAGCGACAAAAAGAAAGCCCTTAGAAATAATTGTTAATTTTAGATTGCGTTGTTTCGTCTCATTTGTTTTTTAGTTACCCCTTTCCCTCACTGTCCTGGTTGAAATGCCTATCTCTGTAATTCTTTCAATATAATTAAAAAAATATTTCAATTTACGACTTTTTTCTTAAATACTAGTGAAATCGTTGCTTGGATAATTACAAAATTATATATAAAATAATATTTTTTGTATGCTAGGATAGATACTAACTTTATCCGGGCCTCTTCTTTTCTTTTTATTAAATTTACTAACAACTTATCCGACGTAGCTTGGTTTAATAGTTGAATTGCGTTATATCTCACTTTGGTGATCGCACAATCGAGTTATGAATTCAGCATCTTAGATATGGCATTTAAAATATAATCGCTCTTTCTTTCCGGATTAGTCTCTCATCTAACCGTTAAACGGGTGATGGAGGACTCTTGGTAAAATAAAAAAAAATTTATTAGCAACTTATGTTTATAAATTAAAACGAGACAAAAGACCAACTTTTTTTGGAATTCAAGAGAAAATGATTTTTTTACTCAAATTATTCCATAATTTATTTTGATAGAGCTTTAACATGTATATATGTATACCTAACTGTTGGCTTTTATAATCAAAACTCATTTTCAAACCTAATTTATACTTTTTCCTCCGTTTTTTTTTTTTTTTTTTTTTTAACTGTTTTCACATAACTACTTTTTTTCTATTTTTTTAATTTGCACACTTATTTCCATTTTAGAACTAGAATTGCATCAAATAAAATTTTTCTAACACTAGCTATTTTAAATTTAAAATACTTTACTTGGTAAGTAAAGTTCATCTTAAGATACAATTTAGAAAAATCAATATTGAACGATTTTTTTAATTTGCAAACTTATTTCCATTTTAGAACTAGAATTGTATCAAATAAAATTTTTCTAACATTAGCTATTTTGAAACTCCACTTCCGTTACGTGCCATGTGAACCAATCCTTGATCTTTGGTTTTCTCCATTATTTTTTCATGAAACATGTGGCTGTTGATTTTATTATTATTTTTTTTTTCAATTCACAATGGTAATGGGATAGCCCATGAAAATAGTGCCAATTACCGCTTACCCTTCTTGTATTTGTACAGGAAAAAATATTTCGATTGGGAAAATTAACGGAACAGACGTTGTATATTGCAAGGGCCCGGGGGAACTTAATGGTAGGAATTTTTCCTTGTATATTATACATAGTAAAAATCTTTTCACTAAATTTGTGTATTTAACATTCTCCATTATATTACAATATATGAATTAGGTGAACGTGGGCACGACCTGTGCAAATTCTTCTGTGGATAAATTTAATGTTAGAGGAATTTGTCCATTTCGGAGGTGCAGCCATGATAAATGAAATCTGTGCTCATTGGTGATGTTTCAGTGCCTGAATAAAGTTGCCTTACACAGCAGCTTTGGAGGTTAGTTGCTTACACAGCAGCTTGGAGCTGGAGGGTAATTAATTATTGGAGCTGGAGTATTTTTTTTTTTTTTTTAATCTCACTGAATAAGTTATCAACTTCGTTTTTGTAGTACAATTAATAATTATTTTCAATGGTTTTTTTATAGAATTCTTCGACAGATGAAGTTGAGTATCCCCCTATGGTTCATGGGAATTTGAGTTTTGGAGATTTTAATGTTCCCCAAAAGGGAGATAATTTACTAGGACGCATCTTTTATTGGGCATCGTCATGGTTCACTGGTCAGCAAACACCGAACACAGGTTTTTGGCTTCCCGTAAGCCCAGATTGGCTAAGGATTGCATCTCAGATCCAGGGTTTGAAGTTAGAAACCCATGTGAATGAAACTGTGTACGTACCTTACCAACCATTAGTTCGCTTCGGATTAAAGGCTGGTACTGGCGATTTGTTCATTGTAAACGAAGCATATGGTGATTTCCTTCACAAAACTTTTAACATTTCAACAATCGACACTTCTGATTCTGCTATTGCTTTGGTACGTGTCTATGCTTCGTTCATAAACTAGTAATTAATTAAAACTCTATCAGTATTAATAATCTAATTATCTAAATATATATTTGTGGATGCAGAATGTTTCTCAATAACATTCCCGTACATTGGGTTGTTCCGCGGAGTTTCTAACGAAGTAGAGCTAATGATCCAAAAGCGGAGTGGGACTTCCCCGTTGGAAATATCAATGCTATAAAGCCCCAGCAGCTGCTTTCCCTCGATTGCTTTGATCCCGACTATTAGTGACCAATGAGTAGTGAATTAGGTTAAGCATCTCAGTTTAAATTAAGATTAGCTAAATGTACTCCTACTTTTGGCTAATTATCTAAATAAGATTAGCCATGTTGCTGTTCTAATTATTGATGAAAATGTAGTAATATACTCCTGATCAAGTGGGATCTAAAATAAATTAAATGATGTTTAATATTATCTCTATCATTCTGCAAAATGAAATATTTAATTTCTAAACTCGCATGCATAATGGAGCTACCACGTAGTACACAGCCAAAGAAATGCTTTGACTCATCTTAATCACTTGTTTATTACTGCAAGACTTCGTTACCTGAATCTGATCTAAATAGGAGATTAATAAATTTAGACGATGGATCTAAGCTTACAACAAGCCCGTATCAAATTTGTATATCCAGATGTAACAATTAGCGGTTAATATATTAGAAAGGAGAGAGGAGGCTGAGATAAGGGAAATGAGTAGAAAAAGACACTACTTGGGAGAGGTATGTTCGCAGGCTCTGTTCATCAACTTTTATATAACATTTAACATTTTAACTAGTTCGATGATGTATTGAGTTCTAATTCATTCAAGTATTTGTTCTAATTGGTAAGGTAGGTCCAACGGACATTAGATGAGTTTTTAGAAACTCATTGGGTGTTGCGAATTGTATTTTTTTTTTTTTTTTTTGGCCTTGTAGTGTGTCAAAAGTTAGGTGGTACCTACACCACGTGAATGAAAGAAAAAACAAAGTTGGCAAAGAAGTTGGGCAATTTCTTTTTTGACAAAGTGTGAAGACGTGAATGAGTTATACACGACTCATTCCACTGAACCTGCCTTATAAAAGGAGCAGGACCGCAAGTTCCCAGTTCAAACACACCAAAACAAGACAGAGAGAGTGAGAGCAATTGTGAGAGAAGCAATCGTGAGAGTGAGGAGCCAATTGTGAGAGAGCAATTGTGAAAAATAGAGTGATTTATTCAAGAAGAAAAATTGAACTTAAATTTTTTCGGGTATTCTTGAATAGAAGAGTTGTGAAGTGTATGTAAACACTGTATTTATTTTCTCCTATAAAAAGATCTGTGGGCAGTCCGAGACGCGTAGCAAGATTGGTTGAACTCCGGTTATTCCAAAATTGTGTGTTAATTTCTGACTTATTAGGGATTTTTTGCGTAATTTTTTCCCAAACAACTGGTATCAGAGCCCGAAGGGTTTCGGCAGGTTCCAGCGGTCCAGAGCCGGTCAGATAGCGGTACCGGATCCGTGGAATACTCTGAAAACAAATATACCACGACGATCAGAAAATTACGACGAGTCCATCGGTGCTGTCCGCTCGAAAAGATATTGTAGTATCGACTTAGTGGTGAATAGTAAAACAGTACTATTTACGTGTACTGATACTATTCACGTATAGTACTATTTACGTATACGGTTACTATTTACGTGTATTGTTACTATTCACAGCTACTATTCACATATACTAACAATCAAGGCGGAGTCAGACTTGAGTGGGAAAAATGGCTGCAGATGAAGGAAAGTCGAAAATTGAAAAATTCGACGGTGCAGATTTTGGCTTTTGGAAAATGCAGATAGAGGATTATCTGTATCAGAAAGGTTATCAGAAAGGGTCTTTTCGCAACCTCTTCCGAACGAAGCCAGAGGCTATGAAGGAAAAAGAATTGGAATCTTCATAGACAGACAAGCACTCCAGGGTTTTCTTTAACCCTCTCCGCGTAATGTTTGCTTCACATAGCAAAAGAAAAGAACCACGGCGGGTCTTTGCGGCTCTTGTCCAGTATGTACGAAAAGCCATCGGCCGCAAAACAAAGTTCACGGCCGCAAACAAAGTTCACTTGATGAGACAGTTATTCAATCTACGAATGACGGAAAGCGCATTTGTGGCCCAACATCTCAATGAACTCAATACAGTGACAACCCAATTGAGTTCAGTTGGAATTGAATTTGATGAAGAGGTACGAGCATTGATACTTTTGTCTTCCCTACCAGAAAGTTGGAACGCTACTGTCACAGCTGTGAGTAGCTCGTCTGGAAGCAAGAAGTTAAAATTTGATGATGTTCGTGACCTAGTTCTTAGTGAAGAGATCCGACGGAGAGAGTCAGGTGAACCTTCAACTTCTTCAGTCTTGCATATGCCATACAGAATTCGAGAGGAAACATTCACCAGAGGGAAATGGACGCGGTAGATCGAACTATACCGAGGCAATCAAAAGGACAGGAAGGTCAAATCCAGGAATCCCAGCAATTTCAAATATCACAAAAGATCATTGAAATGTTTGGAATGTGAAAAACTAGTCCCACAAAAATCAGTGCAAGAATGCACCTAAAGCACCAGGAGGGGAAAGTTAGAAGGGCAAATGTTTGCTTCCACCTCAGGAAGAAGATGATGCACCTTATATGCTCTTTGGAGAGCCAAGCAGAGTAAGTCCTACTCCTTATACTTTGATCTTTTTGTTTCATTCAAGTAAGTCCACTTCTTTTACTTATTTAAGTTACATCCCATTCTACCCCACTCTGTATTTAAATGGCTTGAACCGGGTTCTTGTTCGGCTCAACTCGACTCGACTCTATGCAACGATTCGATTCAGTAGGATGTTACATGTCAGACATATTCCTGACCTGAGAAAGAACTTAATCTCAGTAGGTCAGTTGGCCAGTAACGGCTACACAATAACCTTCCACGGCGATAATTGGAAGATTACAAAGGGTGCAATGATGGTTGCTCGTGGCAATAAGAGTGGTACTCTTCTCCTTTATAGCACAGGAGGAGCCAAGCTATTCCATTGCTGTTGCAGTAGACGTGAAATTTTCCAATCTATGGCATCAGAGGCTTGGCCATATGAGTGTGAAGGGAATGAAGGTTCTACATTCACAGGTGAAAACTACCCAGGTTTCAAATCAATTGAAATTGACATGTGTGGAAGACTTGCATATTTTGGAAAAGGTCAAGAAAGAGTCAGCTTTCAGAGAAAAAACAAATAGAAGAACCCCAAAGAAGGAGAAACTTGAGTTGTTCACTTCGATGTGTGGGGACCGAACTACTGTCTCATCCCAATTGGTGGAAAACATACTTTGTGACTTTTATTGATGATCACTCTCGGAAGGTATGGGTTTACTTTCTAAATATAAGTCGAGTATTTTATGCTTTCCCAAATTTCTGGAAGCTATGGTTTTGAAAAATGAGACAGCAAGTAACAATTATATGCATAGATCCTTTCCCAAAAAAAAATATATATATATATTATATTATATATATATTATGCACAGAAGAGATTGTCAATATCTATAACTATGATTCTAGAAATACACATTACCTATATCCAGTAGTGGAGCCATAATTCAATGTTAAGTTGAAAAAAAAAATTTAAAAATTTACAAAACTAAGTCACTCCTATTTCTTCTTAAAAATGTTAATTTTTTAAATGGAATTAAGTATTGATGCGGTATATAAGGATGGATATTCACCATGTATTTTTTTTCTTTTGAAATCAACTTCTTCCATTAAGGAAAAAAAAAAAAAAACCAAGAGACAATAAACAGTTTGGATATTCAGCAAGGATTACTCTTTGTCGCTAAAGCTCTTTCTTTTATTGCCAAATAACTTTAGAGACAAGACAAGCTATAATTCATCGCTGTTTATTCTATCTCGCTTAGAACAACTTTCTGCGACAAATGAAATTGAGGGCACTATTTTAGCCGCCAAAACTTGTTCTCGCTAAACAGTTGTGGTTGCAAAATAATTTGGTTTGAAGTTATTGCTCCTTTGGAATAAAGATACTTAAATAATTAAAATACATAATAATTATATTTTAATTACTTATTATTTTTTAATTTGCTTACATATAAAATTTGGAAGGAAAAAAACAGAAGAATAATAAAATTTTTAAAAAATTTATAATCAATTAAGATGTCAAAATACAAAATATTCATAAAAACTTAGTTTTATATTTGCTAGGTTATATATGTATTTACTATTTGATTATGACTCTGAAAGTTAAAACGATTCTAGCTAAAGCACCATATTATTATAAATAATATATAAAATTTTGTTATCGTATTACGTTGTTATGTTATGTTATAAATAATTATATATTTTATTATTTTAAAGTCTTAATATTTTATTTCAATAATTCATTTATGAATTTCACGAATATTTAAGAAAATAATCATAAAATTTACAGATAAAATGTCTCAAATCTTGTTCAAACATGTCCTGGGAAGAATGCAATGCTACTATTATTAGTTTAATTATATTACTATTATTATCTTCGTTAAGTTTGCTTTGTGAGACTTACGTGCCAATTTAGGAACTAAACATGTGGGGAAATGCTTCGACTCCAGCATGCCTCTTGGCTCTTTCAAAGGCCAAAACACCTTATTTAATTATGTGTTTGTGTCGAGGCCAAATTTAAAATTTGAAAGTATCAGGCCATGTTAAAACTATCTTATATTAGGTATCTCTTACATTATAAAGAAATAATTATATTAGGTATTTAATTTCTTCTTATTTCTAATTTTTTATTCAATAAAATTATATTTAAAAACTATATAAATTTGGATATTAATGTAAAAATATTAGACCAACGAGAATTAATCTAAGTGAAATTAATGTAAAAATATTAGACCAACGAGAATTGATCTAAGTGAAAAGAACTAAGATCCCTTAAATAAGAGGTTGAATGTCCAAACATTGTAAATAGAGAAATCTCAGTTGATAACGTTTTCCCCTATAAATCAAAATGTGATATAAATCAAAAAAATGTGAAACCATTTGTTATTTTCATTAATAGGCAGTAAGGTCAGCAGAATATAATTGCACGTTTAGGAAAAATTATTTATGTAGGAGGTTTGAAATCCACAATCATCACAGTTAGGAATGCAAATTTTATTTGAATATTATTTCCAGCTCAAACTGTAAATACATTGTACATTTGTAAACAAAAATTAATTATAGCTTTGTACAATTAATTTACAAAATTATTTAAGTTTGAACAGAAACTAATGCAAATATAACTAATTAAAAATGATTAAAATACAAATTCAACATAACCTATATAAATTCAACCATAACCTATATAATATATATATATAATTATATTAAATATATATATATATATATAATATATATATTTATATAATTATATATATATATCTCCGGCACCGTGACTCTTGTGCAAATCCAAACAACGCTAAATTTAAAAGTCTGAAATGGTTGGATGGTTCAATTTTTTTTTATTTCTTTAGCATATACACCAAAAAGAAAAACAAGTTCTGAGTTTAAAAAATTAAGATGCCTCTAAAGGCGTGCATGGGACCACGGAAATTTAGTGTCCGTTCTTGAAAATTGTCCCAAATTTTAATTCTATATTAATTATTTTGAACGTTATTTTGAAACAGAATAGTTTTTTAATTACGACTGAGCCCGTACCAATAAATTTTAAAGACATAATTAATAAAATAAATTTTCAATGTAAATTTTTCTTCTATAATCTTTCTAAATAAATTTTTTCTATTAAACGAAAAGAATATTAATCTATACAAAAGAAAATATTAATCGTAATTAACCTGATTACCTAATTATTGATTATGTCGAATGATATTATTACTTATCTTTTTATTGGTTATGTCGAATGACATTATTACTTATCTTTCAAATGATGTTAGGGATTAGACAAAGTAAGTATTAAAAAATTTAAATCAACCTAAAGCAACAATAATCAACACAATGATGAGTTAAAATCCACAAAATATATATATAATTTTACTAATTTTTGAAATCATTTTATTTTATTATACATGGTGCTCTTATTAACTGAAGAGTAACAACTAGTAATTTTTCTACATTCAATTATGACTTTATAGTGGATCCATAATTGAATTATTTGGCTTTTTTTTTTTACTTAAATTTCTATTCATGAATTTTGTTTGGTTGTAATTAATGAATATAGTAATTTTATTTTATTTATGTGAAATGAAATTAATAAGATTAAGGAAAATCCTAATTGATTTCCAACCTAATCCATTTAATTTTTTTTATCTGAATCTCCTTCTTATCCCATTTAAAAAAATGTGATAAGACTTATTTTTTATGTCGATATTTTAATTTGGATTGAAAATTATATAATTTCTGTTCTGACTGAATCTATGCACACCCTTATGGCTCGAAATAATAAAAAATTACTAAAATATTTCTTTTCTTACTATTTTTAATTTTTACTTAATAAATTATATTAAAGATTATCAATAATTTGACTCTTCTAATCATTTCGTGTTTCACGTTCTTGAAGATATACAGCCTGTCATATTGCTTAGTTTATCTCATGATTTAGGATAAGACATGCCTCCACCTGCTGTATGGAAGGTCTCATACACCAAATTAATTAAAAAAAAAATTTCCATATATGGTTATAAATACTATTATTTAAATAAAATATTATTATTGATTTTTTTTTGTACAGGTGAATCCATATATCAGATTTATGTAAGTCTGTTCCCATTATTTATATATTTTTCATCTTGAATTGCAATAATTAGTTTTTAAAAAAAAATTTTCTATAAAATAAAATTATTGATGATTTGAATATTAATGTGAAAATTTTAATTAGTTATTTATACTAATAGGCGGTTAAATTAATCAAATTTAATTGTATTTTTAGATGTACTTTGCCTAAATTAT